GGAGGAGAAATGTGTGAAGGCAGAGAAAAGTGGGCCCTGGGGGAGGAAGCTCCTGCCCCAACCGAAAGAAATCACTGCTGTTTCCCAGGGCACACATCAGCCACTGGGACAGCTCCTGGCTGCCCCGTGGGGTGCCACAAACCCAGCAGAGGCACAATGAAGGAAGGCAGCTTTCCCAGACCAATGCAATGAGCTTACCCTGCCCCTGCCATTGCCCCCCAAGTTTGTTTTCCTCTCAAAGAGATTTTTGGAGACACAGCACTGTGCATAATCCAGGGAGAGCATCAGCCATGGATGGCAGCATCGTTGTGTTGGATGGCCAGACACTGCTCTGCACAGCCCCTCATTGCCTTGGCAGTGGGTGCTCTGGCCCCCAGCAGCCCCCCAAGAGCCTCCAGAGCCACGAATGCTTCCTGGGAGCACAGGTGTGCTGGATGCTGCCCAGGGCCACCCGAGCCAAAGGGGTTTCATCAAAGCAACTTACGTGCTCGCAATATGCTTCAGCAGCCTCTTTACCCAAGGGGCTTCAGGATTCACACACACCTTGTCTGAGGATCTTAATTTGATTCTGGAATGCAAGGAGAGCTCCTGAGCACTCCCATCCCCTCCAAAGGGAGGGATTCCAGCAGTCAGAGCTGGTGGGCAAGACACAGCTTTCACTCACAGCACCAGCAAGCCAGAGACAGAGGAAGCCACGGCATGGCCAGGAAGGAGCAAGGTGCAACACATTCCCTTATGAAGCAGAGACTTGAAGCTCAAAACATTGTCCAAAGAGAGTTTTCTTTGGAGATTCGCAAATGTATCAATGCTGATACATCTAGTTATATACAGAAAATTAGTTATAGTTCCTCATACCTTGGTGTCTGAGGAACTGCTTCCCCCAAGTTGCAAACACCCCAGCAGCTCCCTAAGCACCAGCACAAGCAAATCACACTCTGCCTTGCTGAAAAGGTTCCTCGAGGCCCTGGGGGCCTGGAGCAGATCGGCTGGGGTGATGTGTGTCAGTGAGTGAGCTAGCAGCGTTTTTGGCAAGGGTTAGTTTGCAGAAAGGCAGCAGAGCAGCAGGGTGGTGGCAGAAGCAGAGCCAGAGAGGAGCACGGAGCACACCCCGCGGCACTTACATGATCTCTGTGCGCCTGCAGGTGCTGCCCACAGGCCTCAGCTCAATGCTTTCGTATTTCCTGGGGCTGATGAAGACTGAGGTTGTCTTGGCACATCTACAGCTCAGGTTTCCATTCACCTCCAGGATGGCTGAGAGAGAGAGAAGGTGGTACCTTACACATGCAGTGCTGTTAGACATGCAGCAACTCCATGAGCCAAAGGAAGTTTCCCTTTCCATGTTGTCACTGACAGCACTGTAGGAACCATGGTAAGAAGCTGTTACCTGTGCCTCCACCTCAGTTCCTGAAAGCTGAACCAGGTCCTGGCAAAGGACAGTTGCATTTTTACCCTGGCTACAAGACAAACCCTTGCCTAAACAGGCAGGAGGATCCCAATCTCCTCTTGGCACAGGATGCAGGTGATGCCCACCCATGGCAGGGAGCTGACAGCAAAGCCACCCAAAGCTCACCTGCGTGGGCTGAGTGGGACATCACCAGCAGCAGCAGCAGCAGCCATGGGAGCATGGATGCTCCCGTTCCCATCCTTGTGGCAGGCTCGGCCCCGGAGACGCTCTGAGGCACAGGGAGAACAAACACCACTATTTATTCGTGGGGGTCACGCTCCACCACAGGTACAAGGTCCACACTTGGGCAATCACACCCAGCCAGCAGAGCATGCAGAGGTGACATCACCTCTCAGAGGCTCCCCACAGTCAGCTCAGAAGCTGAACTGGCAACACTATTGACTAAAAGCAGCCACGGGCACGGAGCGCAGGCTTGGATTGCCACACGCCTTTTCTGCTGGGTCTGCACCCACGTCACCCTTCACCCCTCGAGCATTTACCCTGCAACCACAAAAAGAGCCCAGAATAAAAGCAGAGCACAAGCCCCAGCTAAGCAGGGGCTTTTTCATGCACTCAGAGATTTACATACTCCTTTCTTAGGGCTATATTTCCCCCATGCTATTTTTATTGCCTCTTACATCAGCAAAAAAACACCTCACAGCGTCCTGTGGAAAACTAATCAAGATCACTGCTCTGTTTCCACTCAAATCCTTCAAACTTCACGCTCGGCTGGATGAGTACACAAGCAGGACACCCTGTGCCCTTGGGTGTCCTGAATAAAGCTGGCAAAGTCACCAGGTGGGAAGCAAAAGGGGAAGGGGACATGTGGTGAGGCGAGGAGGAAGGAAGAGGGCAGAAGAAAAGTGATGTGGTTGTGTGATAATGTTGTAATTTGGAGCTCTCAGGTCACATCAGCATTTTATATGGTAATAACATGGTACTTTTAAAACAGGAGTTTTCCACTCAAGCTGCTGCTCTCTCTCAAAATCTGGTTTTTCCTCTGAGATAGGCCCAAAAGTCTTGTGAAGACCTTGATCAAGGTCAAAAACAGATGACTAAGGAGTTCACCTCCCTGTGCACCATGGCCACAGAGAGGACAGGGACATTTTCCATGAGCTATTCCCAAAATCCTGCAGAGGGAATGAGCACTCTGCTGTCACAGCAGTGAAAAAGGAGATGGCCTTAAAACTGGGTTTTGTTCAATCCTTACACTGATCAGTTTCCTTGCAGAGAGTTATTAGGAGGAGCCCAATCTAGGGCTGGTTTTGCTGGATTGTGGCAGGGCTGTCTTGGAAGAAGTCTGCAAAAACAGTGGGGAGGGCAGAGATTTCCTGGGACAGATGACTGGTCACCTACACAAACTGCTATAGAGGCACAGAAAACATCTCAGAATCCTTCTGAAGTTCCTGACCTCAAAATGATGCTGCTTTTACAGCTGAAATCAACCAAGAGAAATGAAGGCAGCTTTTTCCAGGGCTGCACAGTGGGAAGGATGGAACTGGGGCATGTGGCTGATGCTCTTCTATGGACAGAGGAAACCAATGTCATTCCTGGCAGCAGCGAATGAAAACAGTACAGGAAGAAACTACACATATAATGGACATGACCAAGAGTGAGATCACACCCCAGATTTGTGGCTACAGGGCAAGTGTTCATCTCCTGTGTACTCTGGAGAGAAGCAGGAGCAACAGAACACTGGCTGGATGGATTGAGAGAGGTGGCTTTAGAGGTGTCCTGGGCAATCAGTTGGGCCACAGCAACCTCAGTTTTCATTTGGGGCAGATGTTTACCCCTAGACTTATGCAAGATCAGGGTGATCCACTGAGGTTGGTTCCTGTAGGGATGTGCAGCTCTGTGCTGACATGCTGCTTCATGCCTTCCCCCACGTTGCTCATGAACTCACCACTGCCCACACGTCCAGGAAGATGAGCAGAACACCACCAGTGGTTCCCTTTCGGCCATGCCCTGGATTCATAGCCAGACACAGCTCTGCAGCGATGGGTTTGGGTTTCCATGGTGGTTTTGCTGGATGACTAACATGCCACTGAGGCACACTGTGGTGCTTCTCAGGAAGGCAAAGCCCACAGCCGCTGCAGCGGCCAATGTTTCTGCACGTCGAGAGGCAATTTTGAAAGGCAGAAGGAGAGTGACTATATTTAAGCTAACCACTTCCTGGATGCCAGGAATTCAGAAGAGTGCCCCTCACATATAGATCTGTGGCCTCATCCAGGCCAGCATCAACAGAAACACACCAGAAGCATCCTCAGAGCTTCTGCTTTCTGCAGCAGCTGTGCTGGCACAGGCAACACTTGGAGTTTAGTCATTGTCATCTTGTTTTTATTAGGTTTCTACACCTGTGGTACCTAAATCACAGACCTCCAAAACAGCTCCTAAAGGCCACATGGAAACCCTTTCCATGTTTCACCAGGATGGGCAGAAACCCAACCCTGACATCAGTGCCACCTCTCCAGCCCTTCAGTGAGGACCCACGAGAGGCTGTGCTGGAGACACCTGCAGCAAGTAAACCTCTCAGCCACTCTGAAACCATTAGGTTTGTTTTGAGAGAGAGTGATTTTTCAGCCTGCCCCTCCTGTCTTCACAACTAACCCAGGGCCCCTTGCAGGAGACAGAAAAAGAAAAGCCACAGTTTTTTCTAATTATCCCTCCAAAAACCCCAACTGCAGCAGATCTTCACCGCTGTGGTTTGTGGTCCATCACCTGCTTCAAATAGAAAGATGCCTCCT